CCTGAGGTGGGGTGTGCAAACACCACCAGGAGTCTAACTAAGCCTCTTCTCAAAACTAGATTTGCTTAGCATATGTATTTTTAACATGTTAATACCCATCCAAACTAAAAAAGCAGCAGAGCTTTGTAATGAGGAAGATCCAAGTTTCACTGGACATTCAGAGTGCAGTCCACGTGCTCTGGTCAGATGGGGTATGGGAAGTCCTGATTCAGTCATGAACAAATATCCCAGATTGGCTGTTGACAGCACAGATCTTCCTCAAACTACATATAGCCAAACTAACAGCAATATGGAATATGCAAGGCCCAGGCTGGGCATATTTTCAGCAGATATCTGTTTAGAGACATCACTGATCAGAACTGCTTTTAGTTGTATCTGAAATAACTCACCCCAAACTTTGGCTACAAGGCTGCAGTTCTCTTGACTAATGAGCAACACACACATGTGCCTGCTAGCAGAAGGGTTAGTTTCATCCAAACGTATTTTAGGGATGCTTAAGTTTAGTATGAACATAGGATTAAAGCCACTAAAGGATTATTCTTAGCTCTGTCTGCAAGACACGAGGAAACAACACAATCCATGATTCTGAAATACTTTGGAGATACAAAATTACTTATAAATAAATCCTGAAAACATGCCAGAGATGTATGTATTTCAGTAAATATGCCTTTATCTGCCAAAAGCTCCATTAATGCTACAAGTGCAAGTCAACAGCAGTAAAATAACGAGCTTGACAAAACTCAGGCAACCACCACTAATCCCAAAATACTTGTTTCTTCATCCCCAAGGAGAAAGAAGCATCAGTCTTATTTTACAAAAAAAACTAACAACAAAGACTGAAAAACAAGAATTTTAGTGATGGCAGATATCTAGAGAGGCACATTTGAAGAGCTCTCGAGCAGGTAAATTCCATTGAGTGCAATGAAAACCGGGGGGGATCAGATTTTCAAAAATCTGCCTAAAATGACTCATTTTCATTAGCACAGCATAAAGTCATGATCGTAAAGTCTTAATTAAAACTTTGGGGACCCCCCACCCCTGAGCCTTACGAATAAAAGTACCTTCCCTACCTCAAAGCCGATAATGTCTCTTCACACTCTCTTCTTTTTATATTGGATTCAGCTGAGTAAATTGGTCATACTCTAATCTGAAATATTGACTGCAAAGAGTTTGAAATGTAAGGAGTTTAAAATCTGAACTTTAGATTCCTGTCATCTCCAGTGCTAACTTTCAGCAGCTTATGTCTGACCTTCTATTGCCTTTGCTTTACAGGCCCAATACCCTCCATTTCCATGTCCTTAAGCTGCTGAATTATCACTGCACTTCCTTCTTTCCAAGATAAGTCGCTTTTCACATTTTTATGCCCTCTATATAATTTCTATCACCTCAAGAGCAGGAAAATCTCCCAAGTAGTGTTAGCATCTTAGCTTCCAGCTTCCCATGTTTTGAATTAATATTTACAATGTTGATAAAAAATTCATACTTACCATGGCAACCTGTATCACACACATGCTACTGATGAGAGCATCCATTAAAAATAAATAAAAATCAGACACAAAAATGAATACGCATTTCTGGACATATATTTTCAAGGAAAGACAAAAAAAATCAGCTTATTAAAAATCCAGATCTGCATGTCAATGCAGATACAAGATAGGTTTGAACATGAAATGATGGGAGTGAAATATGAATATTCAGTTGACAGTGGAGTTAATTTGGAGTTATACAGCCCAAGAGAGAGAAAATGGATAATCATGTATGTCGCATTTCAGTCCTATTTCTGTGTAAACCTTATTTCCTCTACTTTCTTCTGAAAATTTTATTTCATTACAGTAGAAACTTCAGAAAGACTCCCATCACCCAATTTTATTTTGTATCATTGATTGTTTTTTATAACCACAGAAGCATTTTGAAACCAGGAGGGAAATTTACTTAGTAGAAAAACAAAACCATAGAATCCTGTGATTCTTGGACCTTCCTAAGGAGATAGCAAATTTCTACATCTCGTGGGTAGTAACCCTACATTTTTTTCTGTGGAAAGCTTTTGCCTAATCACTTCATGGAATGGAAAACTGCAGACTAAGTTATACTATACAGAACAGCAACCTTTCTCTGAAGCAACACTACAACATTATATTGGCCACCTAAAAGCCACAGATTTAAATCATTGTGCTCCTCTACCCAATATGTCTCTAGAAACACAAACAGCACAAACAGTTGCAGAGGTAAATATGGCATGAGGGTTTTCCCTTAAATTCACTGGTTCCCCCTGTGAAATTACCCACATATATCTATTAAAGAACTGCACCATCCAGGAAAAAAAATCACCTCCATGACATGTAAGGCCAAACTGAACAACAGCAGTGTCTCTGAGAAGACTCATCTCGGCAAGGGGTGAGACTGAGAACACACCAAGAAAGCGTCTGGTCACGTCCCACCGATACCATCATGTGAGAAGCATTCTCTCTTCCCAAAGCTTCCCTAGCATGTGAAATGCAAGGGGTTTGGACCCACATCTCCCTAGGAGAATGATCCCTACTAATTGGTTCTTCAAGAGGAAGCTTTTGCTGTTGCTATTGATCTGTAAATAAGCTCATTAGCACAACCCTCTGCCACACAGCACGGGCATTTACCTCCATCACACCACCACAAACTGCCCACCTTTTGGAGGCAACAGGCCACAGAAAGCAGTTTTATCTGCTCATTCATGGCCTGGCGGGCTGTGTGTGTGTGTGTAACTCAAAGGAGAGAATCTCGGAGTGTAGTTTCTGCTGGAACAGCGGCAGAATCGAGACAGGCCACTCTCACACCTAGCACTGCTGGGTTCAGGAAAGCTGCAACAAGGATAAATTTAGCTCTATATGATAAAAATGAGAACTTCATTGCAGTTAAACTATTTCATCTGTAATCTCAGTCCTGTTAATAAAAATAAAACATCAGAGGGGGAATATTCAGTATGGTTTGCATATATACACACATGCACACTTTTTTTTTTTTGCTTTGATGTCAGTTGCGTCAAAAAATAGAAATATTCTCAGAATAGTAAAAAAAAAAAAAAAATCGTTTCTATAATACCTGCTCTTCTTCAGCTAGAGAAGAAAGATTACAAACCTCATGAACCTTGTTTTATACAGGACTTTTATCAGCAATGATGTTTTTCCCCCATGAATAGAGTGTTTTCCCCAACATGAACAGATTTGGGGAAATGGCTTGCCATCCTAGACAAACATAAAATACATAAGATACGATTTGTTTTCATTGATTTTCAAAGGCACTTACAGAACACAAGCTAGATTACAAGAAGAATATATTACTTAAATATTTTCACTAGTATGTTCCTTTCACTGCAGAACTTTAGAAAAATAACAGAAGATCTTTCCAACCTGCTGTTCACCATATGCCATATCTATGCGGCATAAGGCAATATTTACTGTTAAACATGATGAGTTTTATTTCCAATATATCAGGGCACCTGATAATCCTTTATGGTTTAATTATATAAATCTTCATTAATCTTTTTTAACAAGTGGGAACAAATACACAAACCTTGACATGACTGAAAAGAGGTCTAAACTATAATATGGTGATACCTGTATTACCGTTTGTAGTACCACGTGCTTAATAAATGATGAATTGTGTATTTTAGGTGTTCGGTTCAGTCTGTGATACACACTGACAGGCAAGTCAAACAGGCCAGTATCGTGACACCGGGTTAACGCGCCCATTACACGTATTTGTGCGTGTACCATACACACATATACTTTCATCTCTGTCACCAATGTACACTAGAGAGACCAAGAAATACCAAGGACAACCAATGAGCATTTGGCAGGTCACACAGCCCGCTGGAGAAGGAATAGCCGATCTGGGAACCGCTCACTGAATTTCTGCTCAGCTGTACGAAGTCTTCACTGAAGTGCCCCCCGCCTAATTTAAGTGGCTGTCAGATTTCTGGCCAGTTCAGAAGATAGAGCCCAACAGGATATCTCAAGAAAGGGCAGGCTGAACGGCAGGCAAGGCCTCGCGGTGAGCCTGGAAGGCAGACTGGGAAGGGAAAGAACAATTTTGCCAAGAGCTGACACACAAACATCATCATTTAACATGGTATTGCTATTTCCAGACTCAAACTGGAAACTTCTGTCTCAAACTGCATGTCATCTCAACTTCTCTACTCCAAATCATTTCTCTTCCAGAAAGAAATAGAATAAATAAAATTCCAGAAATGACACTCCAGAAAGCCTCTAACCACAAGGAGATTTCACAGTGGAGCATCAAATTTTCTAAAGGATACATAGATACTGACAGCCTCTGCCAGTTCTACAGGAACAAGCTTACAGAAACAGAGGTTTAGATTTATCTAGGTTACAGACTTATCTACAGATTTGTTATCTATGGAATTTCATCTAAACAAACAATGAAACATATCAAACAAAAAACATCAAATAGACAATCCCCCAAAAAATACATTTTTAAAGGATCAGAACACTATAAATTTTCTGGAACTGCAAAGCATATCTTCAGTCAAAACAATTACGTGCAAAAATACAGATTAGATTCAGATTATATTTGTTTGCTGCTTAAGAATTGGTCCAAATTAGTAATGTATTCCTTACGAACTAGGAAGAATAACAGAATTTTGCCATTAATGCATAGCTATTTCCTGTGCTGTACTCTTGCTTAGCGTTGCTTGAAGCTGTGCTGGCCAACTGCTTACAAAACTGCATAGTTTAGCCAGGGTTTGCTGAAATGCTGGCTCTGAAAGTTATTTGTAACGTGGAGAAGCATGAGAAGAATGAGAACAGAGCCTTATGAGTCTTGTCACACGCTCCTCTCCCAGAAAGCACAGCATCTACTTTTATGGCTTTCAAAGGGAGCTCGGAAGTCTCAAGTTCTCCTTCGTACACCTCTTACACACCTGGTGTTGCACAAAAGCATTTACAACTGTTACCAGAAGACAACGGCCAACAGTCCAGAACAATTCCTTCTTTTCAAAATAACAGGAAAAAATACACAGAACCAACTTGCAGACAGTCATGCTAGTGTCTGCAGAGCTGCACAAAGCTCCATGAGGTATAAGCTGCCCCAGACACCAGTTGCTTTCTAGAGGCACAAGCAGCTCAGAGGTAATTAGCATGAGCTAATTTACCATGACACTCAAGCGGGTTTTCTGGCATATACAGAACTCTTGGCTACCTCCACACTACTATCAGTGTCCAACTTCTTCAAAGTTAGTCGGAGCAGAAGAGCCCCACAAAGCAGACATTACTGTAAGAATAGTAGCGTTCTATCCTTTGGTTTGCATGTATCATATACCTAACTTGGAAAGTTAAAACATTACCAGCTTATAACCGCAACAGAATCTTAAAAAAAGTAAAACCTATGTATGCCATTTTCTGCAAGATTACCCTACTGCTAGGGTGCTAACTATTGCTTTTATTTACCTCAGCTCTTTCAAACTCGCAAGCCTCATTCACAAGAAGAGAGTGGATTTTAACAGCTACAGCATGACAATAATTTTATTTACTAAGACCTTGCCAGACAGGGCACCTGATGAGTCACACAAATGTAATAAATATATTTTAAAAGACACAATGGAAATGACATTTAAAAAACAGATTTAAAATACAAACTAAGCAAGCAAAGAAAGCGGGCTTAATAAACTACAGGACAGCAGTAGTCAGATAAAAGCTGTAAGGTCTTTCAAATGCTTGGTTCAGTAACATAGGTGAACTGAAGGGAGCCATGAGGGGGCAGGAATTCTCCACCTTAACACCTGACCCCAGCCCATGCATAATTATAAATTGTCCTTATTAGCCCAAACATCTCCAGAAATGTATACAATTGAATGAAGATTTAGTATCAAAAAGGTAAAGATGTCCTTGACCACAAAGAATGATAAAGTCTTGGGCAAAACCTGAGTTAAGCATCTGAGTAAGCAGAGACCGCAGAAATGCCCTGAATTCCACTGCTAACAGGGGAAGACAGGATAATGTATCCATAGCGCACAGAGTAACATAAAAGAAGAAAGGATAGTATAATCCTGGGAAAATTCAAAAGACTAAAAAAGGGGCTCTCAGGGCAATAAGTAGTAGCTTGTCCAGAGAGAACAGAACAAGAGAATGTAGAGAGTGGCTGTGGGAGCTGGAACCAACAGAAAGGTTATGTTGTTCAAGGGATAGCAGTGAAAATCCTACTCAACAGATACCTCGGAAGCAGCTTCCCTTCCTCATGCTTCAAAATCTAAATATCCAGCACAAGAGCATTGATGGTGCTGAACCAACAATATCCAACAGTTTTCAAATGATTAACAATACATCAATTTGAGGTGACTCGTAAAGCAGAAATGACCTTTTAAACAGCAGGGATAATATTTTGACTGATGAGTATTGCAAACTTAGACCAGCTCTGGCTTTTCAAAAAAGCTGCCAGCAGCACAGATGTCCTGCTAGATAACGACAGTCCAGAAGCACGCGACAAGGGCAACGTCGCTACTGTGAACTTACATGATGTACTCCTGGTGGAGATAAAAACAAGAACTTGTGTTTCTGAGATGCGGCCTCATTAATCACTGAAAGAGGACAATAAATCTAACACAAATTATATCATTAACTGTGAACATAAAACAAGGGTTTTCATTCAGATCTGTCTGTACCTGTCTGGCACAGGTTTTGTATTCAAGTAAACACCAAAATCGGGGGTTTTAACACAGCTATCAGTGGCAAAATCCAGCTGATTCTGAGGAAAATCTGAAAGCCTCCAGGCTTCACAGGTCTAACTTCAAGGATCACATAAGTTCTTATCAGAGGGCTGAAGTCAGGACATCACAGAAACTTGTAGTAAGTGAATAAATATGAAGCACTTGGTTAAGTACAGGTATAAGTTTAGGTTCATGGATTGTGACTTCTACATAATAACACATCAAAAGGACATGAGGCAGACTTCATCTAAGTGCCAATTAGGTTTTTGGAAGCTTTTCATTCCCTCCATTCCAGCTCCTTAACTGTCTCCATTCTGGCCAGACTCCCCCAGAATCAATCCCACTATACCAGAATAGAATAGAGCACAGCCAGGGTCCCAGAGGAGCACTCATCACTCATTTAAAAAAGCACAGAAGCACAATTAAAAGCCCCTGGTTGACTTCTACAGGAGCTAAATAAGAGAAAAAAAAATAACCTTTTAGAATTTTGCTTTATGCTAAATGCATTCATAGCTCCTCGATATCCCTGCATAACACCATTTGCTAGGCCGTTTAGTGAACAAAGAACAGCAAGTTTATGAAGCTGAGCTATGAATGAGAGCACCAAAAAATCCTGCCTGAACAGAGCTCTGTGCATCAGCCCAAAAAACCATGCAGCTCAACATGTTGTCAGTCACCGGAAGAAATATGTAAAAAGCAAGAGAAATACGTGCACAAGTCACACTTGAGCAGTAAAGAGCTCGGCCTCAGGCTTTTCCAGCATTTGCCTGCACCTGGTTTGGATGTTTCACCGTACAGCAATCCCTTGGACCAACAGGCATTGCCGGTGCACAGCGGTAGCAGAAACGGACCCACGGCTACCAATTCATCAAACTTTAAAGAAAAATTAAGAAAGAAAGAAAAATGCAGCCCTGAACAACATAATATCATTCCTATATTGTTGGCTTTGATACAAAATTAAGGAGATGGATAGCAAATGTGACCAAGGGGACGGGGGAAACTCAGCCAACACAGTTGACCTCCTGTTGTTCTAAGCTTGAAACAGCTCCTGTTGTTCAAAGTTGCTCCGGTAAGCTGAAAGACAATCATTTATTTTTAAGAAAAATATTAAGAAAATCAATGGCACCACACTAAGAGTTCATGGGAATCACAATCGATTTGAAAACCCTTCCCTTGAGGGTCAGTAATACTGTCTCGAGGCAGAAAGCCACATCTGCATGATGTAGAAGTGTTTTTGTGCCTTGAACAACTTGGTTCGGACTGGGAACTAGTAGTTTCCCTTAAGACAAGGCAGAAGATGACTGATTGACATAATTTTTCCATTTTTATATCCCCAGGAATGGTACAGCACATTCATGAGCACCTCTGATTGCATGAGGACTAACAGAACAAACCATAATAGACAGCGAGATTTGTAAATCCTTGGGACACCAGATGACTTATCAAGGAGCATTATAATAAATTTTCTCTGCAATTGCAGTATGCTGCTTTGGGGCACCATCTCTTCAGCATCCTCCTAGGAACAGAACTTTTGTTATTCTAAATTGCTCTAATTAGCTCTCTTCAGAGCCCTGTGGCTATAACATCAGATTTCCAGCACAGACGCAACCTACTCCAGGCAACAAGACGGTTACCAAACGTACCTTTCAAATTAGCTAGCAAAAAGCTACAAGAATCAGACAGTCCTCTGCATAATAGGAAATCATATTTTGTAGCCTGATTTTCTGCCAGATTTACGGAAAAACTAGGCAGAAAGCTGATATTAAACATTCTCTCATGGAAGATATTTCTTTGATAAAGTTTGCACTAAAACTCTGCGCGTACGGATACATCATCTTAATAGCACTCAAAATAAAGGTCTCCCACCCACACCCTTACATTTCTCTAGATAGGGTTTGGCATTTCTGGATCCAAGTAAGTACTTACTGCCTTTACTGATTTAATGCCCTCAGTCTACAGTGGATCCGGGGTGCAGATGACTCTCAGTAATCCTTTTAGAGGAAATCATCAATCTATACACAAGCATCTGTCCTTCCATTCTACAACAGACACCTTCCTACAGACTGCAGCATATTAAGGGCAAATGGCCTTATCTGAGATTTTTTCTAAAGGCTGCAAGTGTGAATAATAACTTTGTCTTCATTGCTGAATAGTTCAGTAATGTTCTTGCAGCTAAATTAACATTTTTAGATTTGATTTGGTTATTTCCTGATAACAGGCTTGAAAGGTCACAGTTAGAATATTTACAATGATATTCTGGTGTTTTTCGTTCCACCTATGCCCACCATAGTTCAATATTAGGTTTTGAGTAGAATGACATATAACATATCCCATTAGAAAAGATAAAGTACCCTTTTGCTTCTGCCCTCAAAATATTAATAATGCTGTTGCAGTTAATATTTGAAACACAAATCTAATGTCATTCATTTTGCTGGTTGAAAATCAATGCATTATATTGTAGCATTAAGAGACAGAACTACTGTTCTATCAGAGAAATAAAAATATCTTAAATTTTAATTAAACTTTTCAAGCACAAATTTTGCATATATGTCATTTTTTTCATCTCAGAGGAGTACAAGTTTCTTTACTACAAGTGCAATATTAATAATAAAAAAGAGACTTATTTTTCATTTGACATTTTGAATTTTCAGAATAGCACAGAAATTCCCCTGTGCTCTCTAAGCAACTATCTTGTAAGGCACTGAAAGATTGCTACCCGTAATTTGTAGCTACAGAAACATGGAAACGAGGTTCAATAATTGCACAAGGCCACAGAGGGAAACACTGGCGAAACAGGGATTTAAAACCAGAACTCCTGATTCTCCATCATACTGATGAGAGGTTAGCTTCATTTTTAACCAGTTTGGGATTCTGGGTGAGTGTTTAGACTGCCTGATAGTGGAGGGCTATTCCAGAACACAGCTCTTCCTGTTACCAACACCCGTGACCCAACCAGGTCAGGCAACAGACACTGAGCACTCAGTAGCTGAGTATTTAAAAAAATGAATAAATAAAAATCAAGCCACGAGATGGCACTGCGAGCAAAACAAAACAGGCTGCAAAAGTCAGGCTGTGAGTAGGAAAGCCCTTTTTCAGCAGGTATAGTTTTATATTTTAAGGGCAAATGCAAGCCCCCTGCGGGTGGGTTCTGCCTCCCTTTGCTCCGCGCGCTGCCCAGAGAAGCGGGGCTCAGCTCCCGGGCTGCCCTCGCACACCGGCGATGCCTGCAGCTGCGGGCAGGAGGGACGTGGCCAGGCACGCAGCACACAAGCTCCGCATCGCCACACGCACCCTTTGGCTGCGGTGCTGCTTCCGCTTCTCCGTCCTGGTCCATCAGCACCTGTGCCAGCTGTAGGTTTTTCTTGACAGCCTCTGAAGTCAGTAAAATCGCACCGAAGCCACTCTCAGCGTGGAGCGTAAACTTGCTTGCAAAAAGCTGCCGCACTCCCGCTTGGGGCGAACAGGCCCTAGCGCAGCCGTGAAGGCGTTACACAAATGCCAAGTCCCCTGTATCCTACTCAGCCACTAGTCACCTGGCACTGTTAGCAATCGCTGAACGGCACAACTTGCAGAGGCGGGAGCAGCAGGGAGCGAAGAAAACCTAAGTGCTAAGGTGGCTGCGTTTGGTACTGAAATAACCTTCTCCCCAGGAGACACCGTACGTGAAAACCTGTTTTCCTTCTCCATCGCACTTCGTCATGGCTTCTGCTGGTATCTTCCTTTAGGACTCTCAGTTTTCTCCCTGTTTTCTCTGGTTCTACTACAATATTGTCTGCATCTTTATATATTCTAAACATCTTTTGTTGTTGTTGTTGCTGTTGTTTGTTTGTTTAAGTGTTACAGGGACAAAACTTGGCATTTCTGGTTTATCTACTTGCCAGAAAGCAGCAGATGGATAATGAGAGCAATATAGCAAGACTAACATGTGGCATTTACTCTTTTTCTTTGCCTTGCTGCACAGGAAAGTGCTTTGCCAGTACCAGTGTTGTGCCACCAAGCAGTGATCACTCATATAAAAATAAATAAATAAATAAACATTTGTTCATTCTGCTCTTAGAGGTATTGTCCCATAACTCAAGAGTGTATGCTTGTGCTGTTCTGCCTCTTCCAGATCTTCTCAGAAGACAAAAGGAGAAATTCCCATCCGTGTAAATCCACATCCAAGCGTGCTTCCTTGGAATGCAATACTTGGCAGGCTAGGAGACACTTCTGCCTGAAGAGACCTAGCACTGACAAACCCTGCCAAGCCTTGCTGAAAACTGCATGTACTCTGCAAAAGCTGGATTTAAATGAGCAAGATCCTAGCTTTGCAGGATTCTCATGGGGGAAGCAAGGTATTTCTTCTATAACTTCCTCTTTTTATTAATAATATTTTAATTGAACACTTGAAAAATAACACAGTTTACTGAATTTGCAGTGTGGAATCTACATCTTTGCTATTCATAGAATCATAGAACGCTTAAGGTTGGAAGGGACCTCTAGAGCTCATCTAGTCCAACCCCCTGCACACGCAGGGTCACCTAGAGCACGTGGCACAGGACTGCGTCCAAGAGGGTTTGGAAGATCTCCAGAGAAGGAGACTCCTCTTGGCAACCTGTTCCAGTTCTTCAGATTTCATTTAGAAAGACCACAAATACGTGTAGAAAGGGAACAGCTGGCATTTAAGCACCGCAAGGAGGACCCAGGCCGCTACAGGCCAGTCAGCCTCACCTCCATCCCTAGAAAAATGATGGAACAACTCATCCTGGTTGTCGTCTCCAAACACGTGGAGATGCTTAGGAGTAGTCAGCATGGGTTCATCAAGATACATGTAGAAAGGGAATAACAGCTGGCATTTAAGCACCACAAGGAAGACCCAGGCAGCTACAGGCCAGTCAGCCTACCTTCATCCCTAGAAAAATGATGGAACTCATCCTGATTGTCGTCTCCAAACATGTGGAGATGTTTAGGAGTAGTCAGCATGGGTTCATCAAGGGGGAATCTTGCTTGACTAACCTGATAGCCTTCTATGATGAAATGACTGGCTGAATAGATGAGAGGAGAGCAGTGGATGTCATCTATCTGAACTTCAGCAAGGCTTTTGACACTGTCCCTCACAGCATCCACCTGGGCAAGCTCTGGAAGTGTGGGATAGATGGTGAGGTGGATTAAGAACTGGCTGGATGGCAGAGCCCAGAGGGTGGTGATCAGTGGTGCACAGTCCAGTTGGAAGCCTGTGGTTAGCGGTGTCCCCCACGGGGTCAGTCCTCTGGGGCTGGCCTCTTCTCAGTGGTGGCCACCAACAGAACTAAAGGTAATGGCCACAAACTGAAAAAACAGAAGTTCCACAGGAACTTAAGGAAAAATTTCTTAACAGTGAGGGTGACAGAGCCCTGGAACAGGCTGCCCAGAGAGGTTGTGGAGTCTCCTTCTCTGGAGATCTTCAAAACCCGCCGGGATGCCACCCTGTGCCACGTGCTCCAGGTGATCCTACGTGCGCAGGGAGTTGGACTAGATGATCTCTAGAAGTCCCTTCCAACCATTCTGTGATTCTACGATCTGTGAAGAACTGGCCAAGAATCACTGTGGGACCATAGGACACAGTCCTGTATCCTGCGTGAACCCGATTCTCCTTTTTAAATCCTTATGGCAAAATAACTGGCTCCACTGGCACAGTGCCAGCGACACATCCCTGCGCAGCATTCACACAGCCTGCACATACATGGCACACTCACTCCTCTGCAAGGCCACATCTGAAGCACATTTGTCCATTTCTTTATACAAAGGCTTTTCCCTTTTTATAAGGGGTTTCTGATTACGAACGGCCAGGGAGAGAACATTCTGCAGTAACTGCTGCTGTTTACAGCAACGAAGCCATCCATGACGGAAACCTTCCTGCAGAGGCTTATTGACTGATCACGTTCTGCACTGACAGAAAGCAAAGGAGCTTCCCACAGCATCACCTCCCAAAGAGAAATTACTCGTAATAAGTTTACCCAGAAGCTTTAAAAACCAAGCCTCACTCTCTAAACAGGAAATTTTCCAGCCATGACAGATGAAGAAAACACGCAGGTACTTAGA